AAGACGGTAGCTAACATAAAAAGGAAGGGGTACCATATATTTTAAAGGGGACCGAGGCTGGGGGAGGGACAATAATCGGGATCTGGGACGGGTCGCCTCTGCCTATGGGTGCGGAGGCCCGGGCCCGGCGGGGCGGGGCGGGGCGGGGCGTGGAGGAGGCCACCTTCCTCTGTTCGCCGCGGCCCTCTCTCTCCCACCTTCGAAGAATCGCCCGGATTTCCCTCTGGATCCGAGGGCCCGCGGCTGCAGCCCCGGGCAGGTTCGTTCCCCTCCCAGCCACCAGGGACCTGGGTTTGGGGGCGCCGGACCTTGTTGACTTCGTGGAGGGGAGCCAGTGGCGCTTGAATGCGGGGCGGGTGGGGAGGCACCCATTCGCCCATCCCTTGAGACCGGTTTAGCGCGCGGGTTACGTGCAGTCTCCGCTCCCCCTCCACCCCCCTTGTGTTCCCAAGGCCTGCCAGCTGGGTCAGGGGGCCGCGGGGGCGGAGATGGGGAGCCGGGACAAAAGGTGCAGCGGGTGAGCGAGCCCAGCTGGGCCACACGTTCGCTTGTGGGGGTGAGGCCGGTGAGTACCCCTATCTCCCATGGGGCAGCCTCCCGTCCCTGTCCCTGGGCCTCTGCCTGCATCGCCCAGCTGTGCAGGAAGGTGGCCTCGGGCACTGCAACCTGGGTTTCACCGTCCCTGAGCTGCCCCAGGGGCCGGTGGAAAGCAATCTCACTCTATTTCCAGATCCTCTTCATGGTCCCCTGAAGCCCAGGTGTGGCTGCGGCACTGAGAGGTCACTGCCCATCTCTGGTCCTGGCTGGAAAAGGTGGCACCGGGCACCAGAGTGGCACGTGTGCCAGGTCCACGCTGTCCGTCTCCAGACTTGACCCTTCCTCCAGAGGAGGAGAGGGAGAGAAATGGGGTAAAGGCCCCGGCAGGGTGACCTTCCGTCTCTCGTGACCCAGAGGTGGTGACGAAAGCTGGGCTAGACAGAAGGGACAGCTTAGGGTGGGGGGTGGCCTGAGAAGACCTTTGCCCTTATCTGGGAATTTTGGCTCAATTGAGAAGGAGACTGCGCTGCTCCTCTCCAGGATCCAGAGAGGGAAGCCCTGGCTCCTGGGAAGGGTCTCTATACTCAAATGGTGTGGAGCCCGGCCGGGTAGCTCAGTCGTTGAGCGTGGACCTAAGAACCAGGAGGTCATGGTTCGATTCCCGGTCAGGGCACATGCCCAAGTTGCGGGCTCGATCCCTGGTGTGGGGCGTGCAGGAGGCAGACGATCAATGATTCTCTCTCGTCATTGATGTTTCCATCTCTGTCTCCCTCTCTCTTCCTCTCTGAAAACAATAAAAGTATGTGTGTGTTTTTCAATGCTGTGGGAATGGAACAGGAAGGAAGATAGAGGAGCAGAGAGATGATGGGAAGCTGGGCTTGCAAGGGCAGGCCTTCCTGATGAGACTAACTGAATCAGATAGCCCAGCCCAGGCATGTGGGGTGAGGACGAGTACCCCAAGTCCGGGATATTAACCTGCCTGGCAGCCTTTGCCACTAGCTCGCTGGGTGACCCTGGGTAAGTTGTTGCCCCTCTCCGGGCCTGTGACGTGAGGGGTGGATATGGATCTCGCAGGCCCTTCCACTTACCTTGCTAGGTTGAGGGTCAGTCTTGGGGATAGAGACGGATGAGTTCATCCTTGAACTTTGCTCCAGCCTTGGCTCTCCACCCACTGGCTTTCCCTGCCTTTCCAGACACACATGCCATGGAATCACAGCCAGCAGTTTCAGAATACCTCCCTCCCGCAAGTCAGACTCCTCATGGCTGTTACCTCTGGCACACACAACGCCCTGGCGTGCCTTGGAATACGTTTTAATGGGCGAAGAAACTGACTCAGAGATTCAGCTACTTGCCCACGGCCACAATGAGCACAGGCCCAGGCTCTCCCCACGCTCGCTTTGTGGCTCTGGGTAAGTTGTGGAGCCTCGCTAGCCTCAGTTGCCATCTTTAAGATGGGGGTAATAATATCCGCCTCCTGCCAAGGGTCGGGGGAAGGGTTGAGTACCGTGGTACGGAACCGGTGCTCTGCCAGTTTTCAGAGATTGTTACTTTCACCATCCTCTGCTTCCTCCTGTGTCTACACTCAGACCTTCCTCCGTGTTAGGTGTGGCAAGCCTTTTGTAGGAGGGGGAATTATTTTTCATGTCTGCAAAGCCATGAGAGTCCTAGTAGACACTGGTTCCATCCGGGGAGGGGGGGGGAGGGGAAGGCTGGGAGAAAGGATAGTGAACATACCTGATGTGTAAGTCCCCGAGTCTTTGTATTGAGCCATGTTGACCGGAATTCTGGGAGTGGGAAAAACAGGGCACATGGACCATCCAGGCCCTTCAACATTGCCTCCCTCTTTCTTCAACCAACTCCATTCCTCCTAGCTCCCCGAGGGTCTTTCTGCCTGAACGGAGCACATCTGCTGTGAGCTGGACGTGACTCACACAGCACATGGTCCCTATGCTTTTGTGCATGCCATTGGCTACTCTGAGAAAGCCCTTAGTCCCTCCCCTTTGTCAATATCCTTCCCATCTGTGCTTCAAAAATGGCTTAAACTGTAAACACCACCTACAGATTTTTAAAATCCTTATTCTCAGCCTATGAAAAAAGTCCGGAAGATGTCATCATAGTGATGAAACTATGTAAATACTCTGAAGCTGGCAGTCACACCCGGCTGCCGTGGAGAGGTAGAGGGCAGGAGGTGGGGAGGGAGTGGAGGCACATGGTCTTACCTTATAAATCAAGGTGTCAGGAGACCCGGCCTACCAATAGTGGGACATGAAATAAAGGAGTACGGGGGACTCTTTCCCCCTCCCCACGTGGGAGTCTGTACTTGTTCTTCAATAAATTTCCATCTTTGCTATAAAAAAAAGGAGTATGTTATTCAGAGTTACAAAGGCAGCCATATATATACAAAATAACAGCAAAACTATTTAGGAGGACTTGGGGAAGAGAGATGGAAGTACAAATTCTTACCTATCAAACAAAACCAAGAAATAGCTGTATAACTATGTTGTTTGGAAGTACATCACAGAAGATAATAAAGCAGAAATGGCTAAAATAGTTCAAAATGTTCTCCTTTGGACTTGAATAGACATTTCTCTAAAGAAGATATACGAATGGCCAATAGGCTCTAGTAACGACAACATTCCTGGTCATTAGGGGAATGCAAATCCAAACCAGAGTGAGAAATCTCCTCATGCCCATTAGAATGACTATTCAAAAGAACAGAAAACACGTGTTGGTGAGGATGTGGAGAAGTTGGAACACGTGTGCACTGTTGGTAAAAATGTAAAATGGTGCAGTTGCTATGGAAAAAATTTTGACCGTTCCTCAAAAAATTAAAAACAGAATTTACCACATGATCCAGCAATTCTACTTCTGGGTATGGGTCCAAAAGAATTGAGAGTAGGGCCCTGGCCAGGTTTGTTCAGTGGTTAGAGCGTCGGCCCATGGACTGAAGGGTCACCGGTTTGATCCCTGACCCTTTTGGGGGCCCATGCGGGAGGCAACCAGTCAATCTCTCTCTCTCTCTCTCTCTCTCTCTCTCTCTCTCTCTCTCTCTCTCTTCCCCGCGCCTTCCTCCCTTCCACTCTTTCTGAAAAATCAATGGAAAAAATATCCTCACGTAAGAATTAAAAATATAAAGATTTGAAAGTAGGGATTCGAGCAGACATTTGTACACCAATGTTCATAGTATTATTAACAGCCAAAAGACAAAACAACCCAGATGTTCTTCAATGAATGGATAAATAAAATATGATATACAGGATGGGGCACAAGCAGGTTTACAGTTGTGAGTATGCAAAACACCAGAGTTTATTCTGGTATTATTATTTATTAATTACTAGAGGCCCGGTGCATGGATAGAGTCCCTAGGCCTGGCCAGTGATCAGGGCCCATCGGGGCCTTCCAGGTGCTGGCCGGGGCCTTCCTTCCGGCTGCAGGCTGGGGCCCCCTTTCCCCAGCTGGCAGCCAGGGCCTTCCTTCATTCCACACCACCCCCTGGTGGTCAGCACACGTCATAGCGAGCGATTGGTCTCCTGGTTGAACTCCTGCAGGGACAATTTGCATATTAGGCATACACACACACACACACACACACACACACATATTGTATTATTTTCCATATGAATAACTGTAAACCTACATTTGCTCCACCCTTACACTACAATAGAATATTATTTAGCCTTGGCCTGGCTGGCGTCGACCTATGAACTAGGAGGTCATGGTTTGAGTCTCGGTTAGGTTCTCATGCTCGGGTTGTGGGCTCAGTCCCCAATGTGGGGCATGCAGGAGGTAGCCGATCAATGGTTCTCTCTCATCATTGATGTTTCTATCTCTCTCCCTCTCCCTTCCTCTCTGAAATCAATAAAAATTCATTTAAAAAAGAAAAAGGATATTATTCAGCCTTATAAAGGAAGAAAATTCTAACACATGCTACAACAGGGATGAACACTAAAGTGAAACAAGCCAGATACAAAAGGATGAATACTGTATGATTTCACTTGCATGAGGAACCTAGAGAGTCACATTCATAGAGACAGGAAGTAGAATGATAGTTACTGGAGGGAGGGGGCGTGGGGAAGATGAAAAAGTTCTGGAGATGGATGGTTACACAACAATGTGACTGCGCTTAATCCTACTTAGCGGCACACCTAACATGTTCAAAATATTAAATTCTATTGTCTCTTTTACCACAATAACAGGAAATGGTTCTATTTGGAGCATGGGACTGAGAGGAGGTGTAAGGCAGAGAACTGCTGCTTTTTGTTAAAAAGCCTTTTTCTTGTTTTATTTTCCTAAGACAGGTACATGCTTTATCTTAATAATTTTTTGGTAGCAGGGACTACTAGTATGTGAGGTTTTTCACTCTAAAGCGATGAGTGCAAAGGGCTTACACAGGCCTGTGGTTGGCCTGGGAAGAATCCAGCTCTGCTACTTTTTCTCTCAATGACCTTGAGCAAATATCTCCTCTCTGATGTAATTTTTCATGGCTCTCTGTTGTCATCGACTGTCTCCAAGGAGCATATGAAAAGCGTCCCTTTTAAAGAATTTTCTTCACTGTATGTCTGAGAAGGGAATGGTGTACTAAGAAATATCACAGAGTTGCGGGGGGAGGGGGAGTGGAGAAGAGACGGCTGGCAGCCACATAAAGGAGAGGAAGGTGAGGAAGAGAGTTTTAATTTTGAAAGAAGAGATGATAGTGACTTGGAATATAATGCTTATACTTTGCCCATTAGATCCAATACCAACCAGTACATAACAGTAGCCAATACTCCCCCTCCCCCCAAAAAAAGGCTAATAAAAATGGTTCTAAAAATGAATGTTTCTGATTTTCAAGTGGAAAGTGAAAAGAAGGAACTTGTTCTGGACTGCTGTGTAGGGTAAACTTATTTTGATCACAACTGATCATTGAAGGCGGACGCAGGCCGAGGTGATGTTAAACAATCAGTATTTTCTTGCAGGCAGCCCCAAATCGAAAAGCCAAATAAGCGGCAGTGCCAGCAGCTGCCAAACGTTGTGCAAACCTTGCTTTCATAGAGTGTGGGACAAAAATCTTGCTTTGGATGATGTCATTTTTAACTTGAGTCAAAGTCAAGAGCTAAAGTTAACTGTTCAGTCTTGGATAAAGACCCAGTGTCTTGATAAATTAGAACAAATCCAATTTATCTCCCTTTCCTCATTCATGGTCTCACAGACATTCACCGAATGCTGACATCATACCAGGCGCCATGCTGGGTGCTCAGGCCGGAGATATGAATGAGACAGGGCGTCTGTCCTCAGGGAGTTCACTGTCCATTAAAAGACACCAACCCTGAGACCATGCTGTGGGTGAGAGGGTGTGGGGGACAGCATCTACCCTAGGCGTGTCGCAGAAGGTCTCCTGGAGGTCTGAGCCAAGGCCTGAGAAATGAGTCGTGTATGCATTTCCTATTGCTGCTGGAATAAATTGCACAAATGTAATGGCCTAAACAGCAGAAGTTCATTCTCCTACAGTTCTACAGATCAGAAGTCTGAAGTGTCTTCTGGGACTAAAATTAAAGTGTTGACAGGGCTGGTTCCTTCTAGAAGGTTCAGGGGAGAATCTTTTTTGTCTCTTCCAGCTCCAGGGAGTCCTTGGCTGGTGGCCACAGCACTCTCATCTCTGCCTTCGTGGCCACACTGCCTCCTCTCCTATGTCCAGTCTCCCTCTGCCTTTCTTATAAGGACACTTGTGATTGCATTTAGGGCCCATCTGGATAATCCTGGGTGATCTCTCCATTTCAGTACTCTTAATCACATTCTAATTTATTCAATCACTCCCCTTTTGATGGATTTCATATATATATAATTTATTTCAGAGAGGAAGGGAGAGGGAGAGAGAGATAGAAACATCAGTGATGAGAGAGAATCATTGATCGGCTGCCTCCTGCACGCCCCCTAGTGGGGATCAAGCCTGAAACCCTGGCAGATGTCCTGATGGGAATTGAACCCTGACTTCCTGGTCTATGGGTCAATGCTCAATCACTGAACCGTGCCGGCCCGGCTCATCATTGATGTTTCCATCTCTCTCCCCTTCTTCCTTCCTCTCTCTGAAATCAATAAAAACTTTGAAAAAAAATCTTTCTCAAAGTGACAGCTGCTGTCAATTCCTCACTTTGCTGCCTCATTTCTCTGGGCTGTGTCTCTTCTTGTTGGAATCTGAGCCATTCTTCAAAGCTGGAGTTAAATGCCACCTCCACTGTGGAGCCTTTTCTGATTTCTTCTTTCGTCCTAGGCTCCTCCTGCCTGCATACGCACCGCTTCCCTTGGAATGCATGTACTTACTTGCTGTGACAGTCCTTAAATAGTTAAATTGATGACCTTTCTGAGCCTCACTTAGTTCCTTTGTAAAACTGAAATAATATCTGCTGTATACGGCTGTTGTGAGTTAAGAGAAATAATGTATGTGAATCACAGTCCTAGGACACAGAATACACTTAACATATGTTAGTCAGACATTATCACGTACATCTGCGCAGCCTTGAAATTCACACACAGATTTTTTCTGTATGTGTTAGGACTCATTCTTTTTACTTTATATAATAGCTATTTGTGTTGACTGTAGGCTCCTGGGGCGGGGGGAGGGAGTAGGAAGGGAGGGAAAATAGGGTATAGTGAAAAGAAACAGGATTTGGAATAAAAAGATTTGGATCTGCTCCTCAACCAGCTATGTGACTGAGGAGAAGGTATTTCTGCTTCCTGAGTTTCTTTCTTTGTAAAAGGAAGATACACAATAAATGTATGTTATCATGTATGTTATCAAAACAAGATAACGGATTGCCAAGGACTAATGTCTTACTACCCAATTGCCCTTGTCTATTTCCCAAAGCTCAGCACAGTGTTTGCCTGGGGGCGGGCGGAGTGTGCATACGGATTTGTTAAATAAGTAGGCCATTGCATTGACTTCATTTGGTCTTCACATTTCCCCTCTGAGATAAGCTTTAATATCCCCATTTCAAAGATGAGAGAACTGAGGCTTGGAGTGAATAAAGTGCTTCATCCATTCATTCAATAGACACCTGAATGAGCAACTACCAGGCATCAGACACTCAGATACTGGGGATACAAAGATAAAAACTCTGCCCCTCACAGTCCAGAGTGGCAGGCAGGCACTTAAAAATAAGTATAACTAATATTTATTGGGTTCTTACTAAGTGCCAGTCGCTATGGCAACTCTTCCTGTGTTTCAGTCATTCAGTCCTTCCCAAACCCTTCAGCTAGGGAACATTCTTATGCCTGTTTCTCATGTATTTGTACATAAGACACAGTGATTGCTTCAGGTTTCATTAAGTAGCAAGAGGCAGAGCCAAGATTAATACCCAATTTTCTAGTCCCCACCTTAGCCACCAAGCTCCACCACCTCTGACAATAAGGCAGCAGACAGGGCATTGTCAGAGCCCCAGGGAGGGAGTTCTAACTCAGTCTGGGGTTCAGTCGGTGGCTGGAGGGGTTTCCTGCAGGACTGGGGGAATTAGCTAAGCCTCAGAGGTGCGTGAGGAAGGCAGGGCCATTCCAGGAGAGGGAAAGGTGAGGAGCCCCCCACGGAAGGTCTCACACAGCATCCCAGGCAGGGACGGGGGTTAGGAGGAGGCTGCGGAAGCAGGCTGGGCCAGTCTAGAACGGAGAGTGCTCCCTAGCCTAGAGGTCGCTGGAGGTTTGAAGGGTTCTAAGCAGAGGGGAGGCCTGGCTAGATTTTTAGAAACATCATGTGGGCAGCTGGGTAGAGGCGGATGGGAGGAGAGAGACTCAGAGTAATCCCAGGTACGAGTTGGTGGTGGCCTAGACAAGGTCTGGGGCGGTGAGGAGGGGATAAGAGACGGGCAGAGGGCGGGTTTTCCGGACGATTGGGAGGGACACTGTTGGGTAGAGGACAAGGAGCAATTTTGAAGGACACACAGTTTCGGCTTCTAATCCAGGAGAATGGGGGTGATGTCATGAGGTCTGTTTTGGATGCAGCCCAGGTCTTCTGGCCCCATTCGCGTGCCCTTTCGCCTCGTAACGTGGTCAGCAATGATGCCCGCAGGCGTGCCCCCAAGTCACCGGGGAACGCGGCGCCCCGCCTCGCCAACCAGCTCGGAGCCTGGAACCCCACCCCTCCGGGGTTGGCGGCGCCTGCAGGGCGCGGCCTCCGACGCCAGAGGGCGCTCGGGCACCTGCGCGCGCCCCTCTAGCCCAGCGCGTCTCGGTGGCCGTGAAAGGTGACGTGGACACGGAAGTGGTCGTCGTCGCGGCGGCACCGGTGGGAGCGGGGCGCAGGGACCAGAGAGCGGCCGGCGGGCAGACGGGCGGCGGGGGGTTTGCACCGGCGGCGGAGGACGCAGGCCCTGTCGGTTGGGTGCGAGACCACTGAGCCCAAGGGCGGCTTCTGGAGCATCTCCTGCCGGTCGCAGCCCGAGAGACGGGGCCGCTCAGCCGGCGTCACCATGACCAAGGCCGGTAGCAAGGGCGGGAATCTCCGCGACAAGCTGGACGGCAACGAGCTGGACCTGAGCCTCAGCGACCTGAATGAGGTCCCGGTCAAGGAGCTGGTCAGTACAGTCGCGGGCCCCGGCGTCCACCGAGCCTGCCCCTGGCCCTGGCGTGGGCCTCCCCTTCCCCGCGCCCCCGTGGGGAGGTCCTGGAATCGGGTGGGGAGCGTGGGGCCGAGCCCCCCGGGGAGGCCGCGTCCGGTCCCAGGGCTCTTCCGAGATGTACACGTGTCCCTTTGGCGCAGGTCCAGGGATGGGGTTTGAGGGCGGGGGGCTGCTGGTCCGGCCTCTGGCTTTGCCCGGGTCAAGAGTAAATCTCCCCCTGCCCCATCGCGGGGTGGGGGTGGGGTTCACGACGCCCAGCGCCGTGCCTGACCCCCGGGAGGCGCCCACGGAGCGGTGGCTGGATGTATTGGGAGAATGAATGAGCAAATGAATGAATGACTAGGTCTGAGAAGGAGGCCTCCAGGTGGACCGGGGTGTGGCCCGGAGCCAGGGTTTCGTAGGGAGCCGGCCAGCCCAGGCGGCCGCCCCAGCCCCGAGGCGTCCTTCCTTGGAGAAGGTGAGGCCTCCCTGCTTGGTTGGCAAGGTCTCTAGCCCACTGGGCTGAAACTGACCGGCATCCCCGCTGCCCGGGGGCCCACCCCTCCAGCCCCCCTACTCCCACCCTCCCACCCAGGAGACCGAGGTCCGAGGCCCTTAGGAGATTACACCAACTGGTTGCCAACGTGGACTGAGTGAGATGGGTCATCCCTGCTTTTCCCACCTGGTGCCCCACCTGCGCCCTCCTCGCCGGCCTCACTTGGGATGACGTAGACTTTTGTCAAGGCCTTTGGCGCTGGACCCAGCCTTCCCTCCGCCTTGGCTGTGTAGGGTGGAGTTAGCACAGGATTCCCAGTTCATATGTCAGCTCCCCATTGCTTCATAGCTGTGTGCTCTTGGCAACCTACTTCACTCCCCCCCTCCGCCCCCCTCGATTTCCTCATTTATAAAATGGTGGTAATAGTTCCCGTCTCATAGAGGTTATGAGGATTCGGTACGATTGTGATGTGAACTGTTTGGCAGGTAGCAGATGCTGAAACATGTAGGTATGATGGCTTTCTTCCCACTGTAAAATCTAACACTTTTTTTAGGTGGTCAGACTTATTCTTGGGACTTTCTGACAACTGGAAAGTGTAGGTTGGCCCAGGGTCCTTTATCTGAGTATTTGGCTTCTTTCCCACCCCGGGAAGATGGCCAGCCTTGTTTCCACCTGGCCCTAGGACTGCCGTGGGGAACCGTGTGCTCCAGGCATCTGGTTGGCGCAGCCCTGCCCCTAGGGAGAAAGAGGGTGGGTTTCGCTGAGCTCCTCCCGTCCTGAACACCAGGGAGAATGGAGATGGGGCCTGAGGGCCTTATTTTCACTCTGATAGTTACTGTTTACTCGTTCATTCAGTCATGAACCAGCCAACATGTATGTTGAGAACCCAGAAGGTCTGAACTAGGGAATATGGAAATTGCAAAGCCGTATTAGACCCAGTCCCTTCGTTAAAACGAATAAGGAAGGGTGCTAGAGAAAATACTAGAAATGCTAAGGAGAATTCCTTAAGAATCTGTTTTCCTTTCTTGGATGTTCCATAGCCAAACCCCTGTTTGCCTTCTTCCGTAGGTTTTGGTTGCTTGGCTCATTTTTCCTCTCCTATCCCTAGGAACATTATACTTTAGTGTTAATTTTTTTTAAAGGCCTTTCCTGATCATGGGAACTGGTAAATGCTTCCTTAGCAGATGTCACTGAATCATTTCATGTGTTGATTTGATGTTTGGTTCTCATTCCCTTTCCTAGGCTGCCCTTCCAAAGGCCACCATACTGGATCTGTCCTGCAATAAACTGACTACTCTCCCGGTAAGACCGGCAAGCACGCACAATTCCTTCTGGAGCCCTGATGCTTCATTTTCCTGTTTGAAGAAGTTGTGTCATAGGCATAGTTTCAGGCTAGGTCTGCAGGTAGCCTTCAGCTAAATCTGAGTGTGTTGGGGGTGGAGTCATCTCAGTGGGAAGGAAAGCAAGGTAGGGGCCTCGTTCTTTAGAACAGTGGGAAAGTCAGGCCACAGAAAACTAAAGTCAACAACAGGCTGCTGGCTGAGTCCCTTACTGGGCTCACCCTTTTTTCTGCCTGATATCATTACTTTGTAAAATAGTTTATCTCCCTATTGCATAGAGGAGACTGGAGAACTTCTTAAATTGCTCTGCATTTCAGAGAGAAAGCTGTTTATAAACCGCTTCCTGGTGCAACAGTTAATGGGGAACAGGAAAAAGCGTGGTTGTATGGGACTACTGTGTCATTATCCTTTCAGTCTTTAATTGCTTGAGATAAGCACATCCAATCTATGGTCAAATCCTTTTGATTTTTCTGTACCAATTCTCCTTTGCTGCACCTGTGTAGGCGCTGGACTCGTTCATCCCTCAGCCTCTCCTGGGTAATGTGCTTTCTCCTCTATAGCAGTGCTCCCTCGCAGTCAGGTCTAAGTGGGTTGTCATTGTTGCCTTTCCCATCCATTACCCTGGCCAAGTCCCTCTTGCCATTCTCTGATATTCACTCATTTACTCAGGAATCGAGTCTCAGGAGCTGGCAGTTTCTTCACTGGGTCATAGTCCATTCCCCTCTCGGCATTCACCTGGACCTCACTCATTGTCTGTAGCATCATCCCACAGCTCATCAAGAACCATTTTTAATACTGAAAAGGCATCTGAGCTCCCACTTCTTCCAGGAAGTATTTTGTGCCGAATTAAAGAAGGGCAGAATTCCTTGCAACCTGACACCTGCTGTACACTTTGTCGGATGGTCACTCAGCACTCCCCCGTGTACTTTTCAATCAGTTGTCTTGCCTTCCTCAGCAGTGCAGATCCCCTGGCGTGGGTCCCCTGGCATAGATCCCTTGGCGTTTACAAGTCCCCAGAGAACACGAATAGTACCTTGAAGGCTTAATGATAAGAGGGATGTTTTGACATGAGCTGAAGAAGAGCCAGGATATGGGTAGGGTGTGCCTCAGCCAGTCATTTAAAGAACCTTCATAGGGCACCTGTGCTAAGTACTGTGCTAAGTGCTACAAAAATAAAAAGAATAACACTGGTATTCAAGGGGCACTTGATCTTAGGAAATGGATGGTCTCACTATGTTTTGACAGCTCCTATGAAAGGTGAACATAGGGTGGTGTGTGAGGACAGAATGTGTCTCCAGTCACTCTAGTAGCAATGTGGAGGACAGGTGCAGCGGTTCTCAACCTGTGGGTCGCGACCCCTTTGGCGGTCGAACGACCCTTTCACAGGGGTCGCCTAAGACCATCCTGCATATCAGATATTTACATTACGATTCAGAACAGTAGCAACATTACAGTTATGAAGCAGCAAAGAAAATACTTTCATGGTTGGCGGTCACAACATGAGGAACTGTATTTAAAGGGCCAGAAGGTTTGAGAACCACTGGGTTAGAGGGAGAACTGAGGGTGAAGGGACCCACATTTATTTTGTGCCTACTTTGTGCTCAGCCCTTTTGCATACACTTCTCACTACTTACAACCAGGAGTGATGCTCATTATGTCCATTTTCATTTGAGATGGAATAGCTGGTAAAAAGTAGAGTTTGGATTTACACATACTAGTAGGTGCCTCTGAGCTGGGGGCTCCTGGGCTGTTCACCAGTGTGTGAGCCCCAGGCTGAGGTGTTCTCTCTTTGGGTCCTAGTCGGATTTCTGTGGCCTCACACACCTGGTGAAGCTGGACCTGAGTAAGAACAAACTGCAGCAACTGCCAGCCGACTTTGGCCGTCTGGTCAACCTCCAGCACCTGGATCTCCTCAAAAACAGACTGGTCACCCTGCCTGTCAGCTTTGCTCAGCTCAAGGTACCAACTCATGAACCAATGCTTCATGGCCAGGGATGGCAAAGGGAGGCTCAGGGTCTCCTGGACCACGGCTTTGAGAAAGGCTGACCGGAATAGGTGCTGCCTCATGGTGTTTCCTACAGCTGGGACGCAGAGGAGCTCTCTCCCTACTCGTTTTGTTCCACTTGGAGGGACTCAGAGTGTGAACTCAGGCTTAGCCAGTCTCAATGCCCCATCTCTTTCTTTTTTAATTTTTTTTATTTTTGCCCCATCTCTTTAGAGCCTGAAGTGGCTGGACCTGAAGGATAACCCCCTGGATCCTGCCCTGGCCAAAGTGGCAGGGGATTGCCTGGATGAGAAGCAGTGTAAGCAGTGTGCCAACAAGGTAAAGCACCGCCACCCCCCCCCCCCCCCCCCCACACACACACACACACTGGTGTCTCTTTCACACACTCCTGGGACTCGCCTCTGCCTCCTCTTGTTTTCCCTTCCAGGGCACCCGTAGCTCTGTGTTGATTAAAGTACTAAGGTCTCAGTACGTTTGTCTACTATGAACCTGGCAAGCAAAGGGAGCTTTGTTTCTGTGTTTACTTTACAAGTAGTAGAATAATACTACTTTGGCTCTACCGCAGGCCTTCCATTCTTAAGGAACCCGGACCTCCCTGATCCAACATTTCACTGTCACTGTTGTTTGAATGGGGCCAGAGAGCTAGGGGCAGTGGCCTTTCTGAGTCACAGAAAGGAACTTTGATAATAAAGCTATATAGCCCTAACTGGTTTGGCTCAGTGGATAATAAAGGTATTGTTCGTATTTGTGAGGTGTTTTTTTTATATATATATTTCTTTATTGATTTCAGAGAGGAAGGAAGGGGGAGAGAGAGATAGAAACATCAATGATGAGAGAGAAACATTGATCGGCTGCCTCCTGCACACCCCCCCTGGGGATCGAACCCACAACCCAGGCATATGCCCTTGGCCGGAATCGAACCTGGGACCCTTCAGTCCGTAGGCCGACGCTCTATCCACTGAGCCAAACAGGCTAGGGCCGTATTTGTGAGTTTATAGCTATAAACAGACGTATCCTTTGCAGACCTGGCATTTGATTTCAGTCGAGTCGTGAAATAGCGAGGAAATAAAGGCAGCATGGAAGACAAACATTGCCAATAACCTTGAAGACGCCTCACATGGCTAAGAACAGCACTACTCCCATCTCAAAAATCCCCACCTCTAGTCATTTTCCCCTCCTGCTTCAGAACGGATTGCTGCTGCTTCCGCTGGGCACCAGATGACTTTGGCTTTTGCTTAGATGGTGAACAAAAAGGCCTTAACTTTAAAAGCAAGAACTAATATAAGTGAAATGTGTGTATGATGAGTCTCTATAGGAATCTCGAGAGTAATGGACTTTCTTATCATTAGCTCAGGGCTTCTTAGATAGCCCCATCATCTGTGCCACCTATTGTTATAAGAAACCAACAGCAAAATTAAGGCAGCCAAGTAACCAAGGCGACAGTGTGCCCGTGGCTGATGACACCGCAGGTGATCAGTGAAGTCCCATTTTGAAAACTTGGTGCTTTAGGAGTGACGTTGGTTTCGAAGAACCATTGACTACCCTCTCAGCACTGCATGCTCCGCGGGAAGTCTGTGTTCATATCTCTGACACTAGACACCCTCATTGTGCACAGGCCTTTCATTTGTCCATTTGGTCAACAAATAATACACTGAACCATATGAAACTGCTGATACTGTACAGTTTGTGACCTATAGAAACAGTTTTTATTGAGTGCGAAGGTCTTGAGGAGTACTCACACATATCTTGCAGACAAAGCCCCAGGTAGCACAGTGCACTGTGGATGTGGTAACTACGCCATCCTTCCGGCATGCCGCTCCTGAGCTGTCTCCTGCAGCACACCTTTAGGCATTGCTGGGAAGTGGCCTGGGTGAGTCAGAATGAGGTCACTAGTCTCCATGAGTTAGTTTAGATCTCACCTCGAGTGGGATAGTCATAGTAACTGATCAGCTTGGTACATAGTAAAGAATCTTTTAAGAATAATTTGTTAGTTCAACAGTGTTCATCAGGTGAACTGGGATAAGTAGACAAAATCTACCCTCTAGGGCAGTGGTTCTCAACCTTCCTAATGCCGCGACCCTTTAATACAGTTCCTCATGTTGTGGTGACCCCCAATTTCATTGTTACAAATTGAACATAATTAAAGCATAGTTATTAATCACAAAAGCAATATGTAATTATATATGTGTTTTCCGATGGTCTTAGGTGACCCCTGTGAAAGGGTCGTTCGACCCCCAAAGGGGTCGCGACCCACAGGTTGAGAACCACTGCTCTAGGGCATGGATGGGGAATGTCTGGCCCACGGGCCGTATAAGGCCTGAGAAATCATTTGGTCTGACCCTGCTAAGGCAGTAGGTGTGAGTTAATTAAATGTTTGCCCAGATACAGGCTAATTTTCAAGTTGATCATTTTGTATAGTTGGTGAATGATATAAATATCCAAATGGCCCTTGGCAGAAAAAGGTTCCCCACCCCTGCTCTAGGGGCTTACAGCCTAGACTAGAAGAGTCCCTCCCATTTCTGAACTTGCTGTGTTTTCAGATAAATACAGGTTACTCCTGCTATAAAGGTAAAGGGACGTCTCTTAAACCTCCTAGCTCTTTATTAGCCAGCTGTACACTCCCCAAAACCAACTGAATGGTTGATGCTTATTTAAAATTCAGAGTGACACAGGGACTGTCTCCTTCATGCTTTACCTTCCTCCAGATCCTGTCACTCCTCGTTGAGAAGCCAATTTTTAGGAAGTTGATTCCCTTCAGAGAGAAGAGATTGGACTCTTGGGTTACACAGGATGGTTCCTTGTGGCTTCAAACCAGGCCCCTGGAGGAAGCTGCTTTGGCAGGCCTGCCCCTGAGCCCTCTCATGATGGGCGTGTGTATGTCTGAAGTTCCCACAAAGTAAAACAATTGCATTTGAATACATGTCTGTCCTGTGGGGTGTCTAGTGCGGTAGTGAAATGTAGACCATTTGCTGTTGTAATTTACAATAGTTTAGGTTTTCCTCTCCTCATTCATGCGGTTAGAAAGATGAAGTAAAAAAGCAGCAGTATTTATTGAGCACACATAATGCCAGGGGCTATGTTAGGCAGCTAGTACAAGTTATGTAATTTAATCTTTGCAACAGGCCAGAGAAGTCTTATCTCTGTTTTCCAGATGAGAAAATCAGCTCAGAAAGGTTAGTCAAAGAGAGAGAGAAAGAAACAAAGGGAGGGAGGGAGGGAGGGAGGGAGGGAGGAAGATTAAGTCACTTGCTAAGGTCACACTGTTTGTAAGAGTCAGGATTGTATTGGGCTCCAAGCTTGTACTATGTCCCCTACATCCAAGGAATGTCAGCTGCTAAAAAAATAACAAGGCATTTACCTCCTCCCCTAACCGTGCCCATCATGAGAATCTCTGAGGTTTTTTAAATTAGAAGTCAGCCGTGACTGAGCTGAGAATTCGAGGGGCTCAGGCACCAGTGCGTGGTGTGGTGTTTGGGCAGAATGGCTCCTTCCCTTTCTCCTCGAGCTCTCCTGCCTCTGCTCCAGTGAGTGGGACAGGCTCTGGTCTGGGAACTCAGAGGACCTGACCTCCCAGCTGTGCTGCTTCCAGCCCACGAGGTGTGGACAGATCGCCCTATGAGTCTCAGTTTTCTTCCTTTTGAAATGGGAATCCTGTTACTCCTATACCCAGTCTGTCAGTTGTTCATCAAACATGTATTGAGTGCCTATACTTAGCTAAGCTCTGTGCTCATCTACACACAGGACAACAGTCCCTACACTTAGGAACTCACAGTCTTATAACTGAGTTAGGTAAGAAAACTCCCCAGGACTGAGGAGAGGGGAACCTGAGGCAGCCAAAGGAGGGAGATCCGGAAAGCATCTTGGGGAACTGCTGTCCCTGCTCGTCACAGAGTATTCCATGCTCGTCACAGAGTTGCTGGGAGAATTATGAACTTGTGCACATCAGAGACTGTAAGTGGCAGGGGTTTACAGATTCCAGTTGTCACTGAGTTCAGTGTTTTTTCCTGACAGCTGTAGTGAGCGGGGCTCATAGAGTCTTCTCCAGGGGTGGCACTGAGTTGGGACACGTAGAGGGTTAGCTCCATTAGCTCTGCACCGCGTCGGGCTTGCGCTGATCTGGGATCTCGAGAAGAGCAGTCCTTTGAGACTTCCCCTGAGCAGAGTGGAGCTGTAGACCACTGTGCGGAGTCCCTGAGCGCCCTCTTCTGCCTTTGCAGGTTTTACAGCACATGAAGGTCGTGCAGGCGGATCAGGAGCGAGAGAGGCAGCGGCGGCAGGAAGTAGAACGCGGTAGGTGGCCATCCCTCTTCCAGTCATCTTCCGGGCCCTGATCCAGCCACTGGTTCTGCTTCAGGAGCTGGATCCAGTGGAGGAGTCGTGCAGAGCAGTGGGGAACAGTGTGGGGGTAGACAGTATCCTCTTTGTCTGACGAACCTCTTTCCAGTCTTGGTTTCTCCACTGAGCTCCAAAGTCACGTTCAACTGCTTGTCTGTCTGTCTGCCTGGAGGGTTAATAGGCATCTCAGATTCAGCCTGGCTAACCAGGTCCTCGCAGTGTTTCCCAGAAGAGGAAGTCAGCATCCCTGCAGTCATTCTAGCCAGGAATAGAGAGTTGTCCTGATTCCTTTCTCCTGTTACTCCTATACCCAGTCCGTCAGCACGTTTGTATGTGACTATTTCCCCACCTCCAGGGCCAGCACCATAATCAGGCCTCCATCCCGTGGACTGCCACAGAACCTCCTGACACAACGTCCGGTCTCCACGCGTGTGCCTTCTCTGCAAAGTCCTTCTCCACACAGCAGCCAGAGAAATCTTTTAAAACAAGTCACTTATGCTGCTATTTGTTTAAAACCCTCTAATGGCTTCCAATTGAACTTAGAATGAAACTCAAACTCAGTAACATGGCCGTCAAGACCCGCCACAGCCCACGCCTGCTTGCTTCTCCAGCCTTGCCTGCCCCCCCCCCCCTCTCTCTCTCTCTCTCTCTCTCTCTCTCTCACACACACACATACACACACACACACACACACACACACACACACACACACACAGAATACAGTTAACTTCAGCCACACAGGCTCCTGCTTTTGCTGGAACGCACCAGGTAGTCTCACCTCTGGGGCTTTGCTTGGCTTCCTTTTCCCTCAGAGCTTTCCACAGTCAGTTTCCTGTAATCCCTCTTGTCTCTGCACAAATGTTGCCTTAGGTTAACCTTAACCCTTTCTGAACCACCCAAACTAGAATAGCATCCCACGTGTCACTCTCCATCACGTCCTCTGTCATTTACTCTATGGCACACATCATTTCTTTTTTACTATTTGCTCACTTGTTTATTGTTCGTCTCCTTCTCTACAGAGTAGATGACTCAGGCACTAGAACCTGGCTTGTCTTCACGGCTGTATCTCGAACACTTAGAACAAGGCCTGGCACCCAGGTGCTGTCGCCTGGCTGGCTGGCTCCTGTGGTACTGATTGCAGTCCCTGAGATCAGAGCTCTGAGTTACGACTGTCCCTTACACGTGCATGGCTACTGTAATGCGTGTTTACTCCGACCTCTGCTGCTTCCACTGCTTCATGGCCCAGGCTCTCTGGAGGCTGAGTGCAGTGTGTTCTTGGCATTCCCAGTGCTCAGCTGGAACTGGGAGCCTGTTTGTTCATAGAGGCAGTGGAAAGCTACAGTACTTATAGTGCTACTATTCAGCTACACGATGGTTCAAACAGGCCTTTAAGCCCTAAAAGGACATTTAGCCACCATCTGTGGCCTTCTGGCTTTGGAAAAATGTACTTGAGATGTCCAAATAACGAATTTGGCAATGCATTTTTAGAACCCAATAATTTGTAAGTTGGGGACTGCGTGTAAACATCTTTGAACTGTGAAGTAAATCAGAGTAAGTCTAGACATTACGAACTATTCATCTCGCTGTTTCAGAAAAACATTTCCATCATCTCTACCTCTGAACCTGAGTGCTCACTTTCTCTTCTTGCTTGTCCTTCTCAAGCCACATTCCTTCCCCAAACGGGGGGAGACAGGACTCCCGTGGACTCAACACCTCCATTGTTGCTTCTGCTCAGAGCCGAGTTGTAGGAGGCTGCCGATCGCTGTGCTTTCTGAGTCGGTACCTGTTCTAGGGCGCACCGGCCTCATCACCCATGCCTTATGCCCCTCTTGTCAGCTCATCCTGATCTCTTTGCAGCTTGTGGCTAGAAGCCCCCTCATGAGTCCATTCAGCAAACCCCGAGAGCCGCTTATTATACTGCAGGGAGGGCAGAAAGGCAGCTGGTTCCTCTCATGTGTCCTTTGTGACCCTTGGCTAGGGGAAGGGAGGCGGAATCCATGCTTTTAATCGCTCGGGAAAGCACACTGGAAGGTGTGGGGAGAGAAGCCATTTGGGGATATCTCTTCCTGTAGAGGCGGAGAAGAAGCGGGAGGCCAAGCAGCGAGCCAAGGAGGCTCAGGAGCGGGAGGTGCGCAAGCGGGAGAAGGCGGAAGAGAAGGAGCGCCGGAGGAAGGAGTACGATGCCCTCAAAGCATCCAAACGGGAGCCCGAGAAGAAACCCAAGAAGGAAACGAATCAGGCATCGAGTAAGTGTTCCCTCAGTAAGGCTCCGGCAGGTGCAGTGGGGAGGCGCACGGATGTGTTTCGGCGTGGATGACCGAGTGGAGCTTGTAAACTTAGATACAGTGACCCCTCTGGCCTGGGAGCACCTCGGAGGGTTTGCTTACGAGGCGTGGGGGATTCTCCTTGGGAACAACGGGCCTGGCTGGCTTGTTTCCCCAGAGGCACATGTGGGGTTTTGGTCAGATGTAGCTGAGAGCATTACCAGGACAGGGAATTGCACTTTTTTGTAAGAGTTAGATTCTAAAATCACCAAGAAAGGTGAAGGATGCATGTGGTCACCTGACTCTTAAGTCCCTCGCATCATCCGTGAAGTACACTGGGCGTGTTTTGTGAGCGTGGTGCCGTCTCAGGAAAGCCAGCACTGCCTACGGCTTTCTTTCCGCGTTGGAACAAATTACTCTCTTTTTGCTTGAACACCGCGGGAATCATTTGGTCCGTGTTCAGGGAGCCATGTGGTATAAAAGACACATTAGCGTTTTGCCTGAGTGTGTCCAGTTGAATCTGTGTTGTTATGTGGCTCCATGTACATGGGAGGGTCGTATATCCTCTGGGCCAAAGGGACCCCTGAGCAGGGGAGCTCTGGAGGGAGGCGGAGGCCCTGCTCTCCCTTGCTGGCCTTGAGCAAGTTGCCTGACCTCACCACCTTTTGTTTCCTTGTGTAAAATGAGGATCCTCCTCCTTACAGGGCAGCGACAGGATGAAGTGAGAACACCATGAGTTCTCACATGAGGTGCTCAGTCAGGCTCTTTTAAATGTTGCCGAGTAATCTCAAGACCATTTTTTCCTAATTATAAATGTAGTATACGTGTTCATTGCAGAAAATGTAGAAAAGTTCTCTCGAAATAGATCAGAAAATGGCAGTCACCTCTAATCCCCCATTCCCAGCAATAATCACTGTTTTTATATGTATCTTATACAGGGTGGGACAAAACTAGGTTTATAGTTGTTCCTATGGAAAATAATACCATAATTAATAAAAAATACAAAAATAAATGGTTTCACGTATTCACAACTATAAACCTATTTTTGCGCCACCCTGTATGATATTAACAATATTAATACATCTCAAGGCTCTGGCCGGATAGCTCAGTTGATTAGAGCATTGCCCTGATACACCAAGGTTGTGGGTTCAATCCCAGATCAGGGCACATACAGAACCAATGAGTGCAGAAATAAGTGGAACAACAAATTGATGCTCCTCTCTCTAAAAATCAATAATTAAAAAAATAAAAGTCTTAAAAGTGTTTCCCCAAGTGGGCAGCCCTCCATCCTTGCCTCCTGACAAGCCCCTCCCCTGATCCTGAGGGGCCTGGAGCATCACCATGTTTTCAAGGAGGACTTAGGACCTGGGACTGTGTGCACAGTGTGAGACGTCCAGAATGAGTTCCAGTGTTGAATGTCTTCCCTTGAATCCAAGGAGAAGGCAGCTTGTATTTCAGTCTGCACATAGCAAGTTTTTAAGAGCTCAGATGTTCTTAAAACAATATTCATGCCTAAGAAGGGTGTACATGGATCTGCAAGGAGGAGAACAGCATTGAATGGTGGAGAGTGTGGGTCTCCTCAAACTGACTGAACTTTTTTGTCTCCTGTGACTTTGTCATTCCAGAATCCAAGTCCGGCTCTCGGTCCCGTAAGCAGCCACCCCGGAAGCACACCCGGTCCTGGGCGGTGCTGAAGCTGCTGCTGCTGCTGCTGCTGTGCGTGGCGGGCGGGCTGGTGGTGTGCCGGGTGACGGAGCTGCAGCAGCAGCCCCTCTGCACCAGCGTGAACACCATCTACGACAATGCGATTCGGGGTCTGCGCAGCCACCACATCCTCCAGTGGGTCCTGCAGACCGACCCTCAGCAATGAGCGTGTCCTCAACACCTGCTGCCTCTCAGCCCTGGGACTTGGATTCCTATGGAATTGGGTTCTGCTGGACACAACCTCTTTTTAGCGTCAGACCTACCTGCCGTCATTAAATGGCTGCTGATTGGTACTTGAGACCTCCTCTTTGTAGGACTTCTTTGTTCCTGAGTCAGGGTTCCCTGGTGGAATAACAAGTGGGAGTTAGGGAGAGGAAATAACCTCAGGCCTAAAGGAATAGGCTTGGGGGTAGGGAGAGGAACAACAGCCTTTTCTAGTTGTTATACGGAACTGTGAAGGCAAGGCTCATTTCTCCTAAGTGGTCAGCCGTCACTACATTTACACTTTTGTGTGTCACAAACCCTTTCATTCCTCCCTGGGGACCCAGGGCAGATCAGGAGGCAGTGGGTTGTCATTGGGGATTAGGACACCATGCTCAGCAAATCTAGTCTAAATCGGAGGGGAGGGGCAAACCTATTTTCTTAAGGGCCTCAGGCATTCAGACATTTTAATGACCACACAGTCTCAGGCTCAGGAGGGGACTTCTAGACTATGCAGGCCAATAGAACACTTGCAGATAAGGAACTTGAGGCCTTCCGTGACTTGCTTATGGTCTCCCAGCTATTTTGAGGGAACTGGACTCCCACTCTGGTATTTCTTTCTTTTCCATAATTTTGCCTTCCTTATAATGTCCTGAGAGGCCAGAATGGAGTATCTCTCAGCCAGAGAGTGGAATCTTTCATGTAGACAGATTCATGACCCACAAGTAGAAATCTCATAGCCTTGAGGGTCTTGGGCAGCTCCTGTGGAGTCCTGCCCCTACTTACGTGGCTTCCAGAAAATGCCTCGATTGTAGAGCATTAACTTCCCCATTGCCAGTGAACAAGGCAGAGCCTTGCAAAGCCTTCGCCTTCTGTGACAGCTGTTAGTTGGTGTGACTAAATACCTCAAAGGCAACCTGAACACTCCAGTGTCAGAGACTGAGGTTTAGAATGGTTTGATTCCAGCCCTAGAACTTACCTGGGCAGCGAAGGGAATCCAGGAGCATCGAGGCATTTAAAGGTGGTCAGGAACGCTAATGACTTGTGCAATGAAGGGCAGGGCTGTCACTCTCTTGTTGGCCAGAGCAAGTGTTTTCCTGCTCAGTGGCCTCTGCTTCATCTTTGACAACAGCTGGATGAAGGGATCAGGAATGGCCATGTCATGGTGCCCACTCACTGAAACTCCCGACTGCAAGTTCCTTGCCCCTCGCCGAGGACAGCAAGAAGCTGTTCAGGTTCAGAGATGAAGAGGACGGGCTCCAGCTTTTTAGGCTCACTGGTCCAACTGGATAGGATTGCCAGTTGTGACTGTCCTGATCCTGGAAGAAATGACTTTTCTCCCCCAAGGATAGCTCTGCTGTATAGGCCCACACCTTACTCTGGATCACTACACATTCCTTTAGTCTTCCTCCAAGCTCCAGAGCCACTGGTACAAATGCTTTATTGAAACTAAACACATCGTACATAAGATAAGACTGAGAGAATACAGAAGTCGGCATAGTGATCAGACCCGTTCCCTGGCTGGTTGAGGCAGCCTCAGTGGGCCAACAGGGCTGGACACCCAGCCTAGAAAGCCAACCCACCGAGGGCACTTCACTCATGATCTCAAGACTTGATGTTGAGGTTCTTTTGGATTTCTGCAACTATTAAATATGTGTCTGAATGGTCTGTCTGTGTTCCTTTGTATTTTGAGGGCTGGCTGGGGCAGGGGTGGCTCATGCATGGCACTTGATTTTTGCCAGGAGAGGAACACTGAATGCTGGTGAAGATAAATGCAAATATCTCAGCCAGGTGACAGGTAGGGAGACTTCCACAATGGCACCCAGGATCTGTTGTGAGCCTGACCCAGGCTTGTGCTCCTCTCTTCATTGGTCATGTCCTGAGGCAGAAATCTCTAGCTTTTCATCCTGTCCCTTGGGGCTAGCTTCAGTCTGCACTGTCTAAAGAGAGATCTGGCTGCAACGCCGTCATCTGAAGGTAGATACGCCTGGATAGATCTGGTCCAACACGGCGGGAGGTAGATGTCACGCCTTCCCCACGGCGCACCTGTATGTCTGCAAGCAGATTCTGGCGTTCTTGCTCCGAAAAACACCGCCTATAAGCCTGAAAGTGGAAAATGATCTCTTAATACCACACCATTCACAGTCATCCCTCATCGAGGAACAAGGGTGTGGTGAGCTTGGGTTGGGGGATAAGAGTTGTCCCCCCACCCTAGGTGAATGTTAACTCGGATCTCAGCAGACCTGCACTGTTGACCTACAAGGCAATCCTGGGCCCTCACCAATGCTATCCGTGAAAACCACGTGGGAGTCCCACTAAGGCCACCGGGCATGGGGCGGTGGCCCCTGCAGCAGCATACCTGGACCAGGAGCTGTGGGGAGGGATAGGCGGCCACAACAGCGCTGGCCATTTCCAGGCTGACTCGGTTCAGCTGCTGAATCTGCCTCCGCCAGACCTGAGCAAGGCCCCTGCCAGCACGGTCCACCTTCGCCCCTCCAGCCCAGTCGCTCTCCAGGCAGAAGGAGAAATTAGTTTGATCTCGGAGTCTCCTGCAAACAGCAGGGATCAAGAGCTGTGTCACTGGTTACTTTCCTGAACCTGTCCCCTAACTGGGAACTTAAAACTCCTCCCTCCAGTGACCTTGGAAGAAGTGGGCATAAGGTTATATCTTGCTCACTTTGATCCCAAGCAACGCTAGTTACTGCTTCCCTTAAAAACAACATCTAGTCCTTTTCATTAAAAGAGAAGTTACCAGAAAAGTACCAGAATCTTTAGTTTATGTTGAGATTGGGTTGCACTGAGACGGGAGAGGCAGCGCACAGGGTCAAACACCTGGGACTGGGCCCCGGACACTGCGAAGTCTAGTTCTGGTGGTTCTAACGTGCTAGGAGCTTGGCTAAGTCAGTCTCTTCAGGCCTCAGTTCCCTCAGGTAGAAAACAAGGGACTTGGATTAGAGCTCTGAGGTCTCACTTAAATTCTGACTATGAACATTCCCTGAGCTAAGCAGGCTAAAACTTATTTTTATGAGAGGCTATCACATTGTGACCCGACCTGCACTGAATCCTGGTAACTGCCCACTGGTGAACCTGGACCAACTGGCAGCACATAACACATAAGCTAAAGCAGAATACCTGAAAGGGACGGCCTGAGGGCTCTTCCCCAGAATCCCCCTTGTGAGGTCAAGCTTGAGACAATGGACTGCCAGCAGAGTTCAGGGGAAGGGGCACCTTTGGGTACCAGAACGACTGTAAGGACCGGACCCAGCAGTGGGCTGGGATTGGCCTGGGCACTTACTTGAAGGGCGCCTCAGCCACAGCCTTCGTGAACGAGCACGCGAAGTCGGCCAGCTCTTGCCAGCTCTGCACAACTCGGGCCTGGGCGTGCGTGTGTAGCTGCAGATCCACCAGTGCCTAAAACCCAAAGGCAGATGGACTGGAAGGGCGGCGAGACTAGTCCGAAGTTTTTCTTCCCTCCATGTTCCCTGAGGCTTCTCTCCTCCCTGTTCCCAACCCCTTGGCTCCTGTTTGGCCCATTCTCTCCTACTTAGTCCCAAGGCAGAGAGTACTGGCCAGCAGGCATGTCACTCTTTCTCAATAGCAAATCGGGTTAGTAAAATGGGTGCCCGGCCCGACTCAGGCAACAGGACGCTCTTACCTCCTCCATGTCTACCCTGGACACCACGGGCCCTGTGTTGGCCTCTGGTGGTCTCTGTTTCTTCTTCTTCTCCTTGGCCTGTTCTCCGTTTGCCACTCCCTGCTTCCTTCTCCTTGGAGGATTTGGAGCACTAAAGCAGGGGAGGAAATCAAAGAAGGGAAGCAAGCACCTTCAGGCTGAACTGAGGCAGAAGAGGTGCAAGAAGCCTGGACCAGCGCATCCCCCGGGGCTCGGCAGGAATACAGTCTGGCAGAAGGATCTAGATTTGGGATGAATGACTTCACCCCTGTTGGCCCAAGAGCTGCCCCTTTTGATGTTAAGTCTTGACAAATCCAAACCTGAAGCATTTCTCCTGATCCACAATCACCAGTGACAGAGCCTTTCCCGCTGTCCTTGCCGTGATGCCTGCTACAAAGCTCCGAAGTGTTTCCTTCCCTTTCTCAGTGCTGCCTAGACCTCCCTGCACAAAGGGGCAGGAACTGCATTAGTGTTGCTCCCTAGAGTCAGCCCTCTGTCCCCGCCTCAGCGCCCACCCCTCCGGCTCTGCCCACCTGCTTGAAGTTGTGGATCATGGACACAAACGCCTCTGCCGGGAGCAGCACCAGGACCATCGGCTCCTCCACCCAGGCCTCCTCTCCATCCTGCCAAAGCACCGGAACCCAGCAGAGGGAGGCAAGTCAGCAGGTGCTCAGCACTGCGAGAGAGACCCAGGCCTTCTAGAGCAGCGGCTGCCAACCTTTCGGACCTCACGGACCACCAGTGATCTGTGAACCACCAGTTGGCGACGGCTGTTCTAAAGGAACTCACCCCCATCAGCCTAGCCCATTTTATGTTATTCGTTTTCTTCTGGAATGAAGTCATGGTAGCAAGAACCAATAACCATGATCCTGTCCCTCCTCAGTCCTCAAATCAACTGTTCAGCATCTCAAGGCAGTAGATAAGAAAGGAGCCCGGCGGTGTGGCTCAGTGGTTGAGCACCATCCCATGCACCAAGAGCTCACTGGATGGATTCCGTCAGGGCACATGCCCAGATTGCGGGCTCGATCCCCAGTAGGAGGTGTGCAGGAGGCAGCCAATTGATGTTGATGTTTCTCTCTCATCCTTGTTTCTCTCTTCCCCTCTCCCTTCCACTCTCTAAAATCAATTTTTTTTTAATCAAATTTTTTTTAAACTGTTACTTACACAGCTCCTCCACCAAAGACATCAAATTCAAGGGCAGGAAAGGGTTGCAAAGTGTGTAGTTTATGCCTTTTTTGACACCACATTCACTAGTTTCCAAAAGTGAATGGGCAACACAAAGGCTCTCAATTTTTTTTTTTTTTAAAGAAAGGAACATTTACAAGTTGAAATGGGCTGAGAAAATTATGAGATCCAAACAAGAGAGCAAAAATATAATGTTTCATCTACAGACTCTTGAAAATGTGGGGTGGACTATTTTGGAT